TTATTGGGGCTGGAGAGATGGCTCAGTGGTTAAGAACACTGGATGTTCTTGCAGAAGACCTGGGTTCGAATCCCAGCACCCACATGGCAGCTAACAACTGTACATAACTCCAGTTCCCGGGGATCTGACACCCTCTTCTGTCCTCCGCGGCCACTGCACTACACGGGTGTACTTACCTACACGCAGGCAATACACACATACACATAAAATAAAATAAATAAAATATTTTTAAAAATCTTTTGATTTAATTGAATTATAGAAAGTTGGAAAACACAGAGTCCTTCTCTTACCTTGACAGTAAGAACCTATAAAATTACACAATAGAACCTCTCCCTCCTTTGGAGATACCTTTCAAGACTTCCAGTGACTGTGCTAAGCCTCTAAGCCTCTGCAGCACTGAACCCCACATTCACTAAGGTTTTCCTGTGTGTCCTCCACATTGCTACATGGCAACAGAGTTAACCTGCCTGTCCACTTTTCATATTCCCATGCTTCCTTTGTACCATTGGGGCCATTATTAAGTGAAATTAGGGGTTACTTCGACACTAGTACTCTCACAGCTCATCTGACTACTGAGGTGGTTACTAAGTAGCTCATGAGTAAGTTGTGTATACAGTATGAATATGTTGGATAAGGTGATCCTCAACCCCAGGGTGATCCTCAACCCCAGGTAGGCAGAATGGGACTTTATTATGCTACAGAATGGTGGGCAATTAAAAAATATAAAGTATTTATTTCACTATTTTTCCATTTGGTATTTCCAGACCTATGGCAACTGGAACCATGATGGAAAGTTAAACCATAAATAATGGGCAAAAAACCCAAGACACTGACAGACACAACTGAGGGCCTTATTGCCACTGCACAGTAGAAACATATGTAATTTTAATTTTTAAAAATTATATAGTATGGAGTATTGTGCTCCCCTTTTTTGATACAGGGTCTTACATAGCCCCCAAATTCACCATGTACCTGGCTTTGGATTCTTATCTGCTAGCCTCTACCTCTCTAGTGCTGAGATTACCATTTGTACCACCACACCTGACTGACTATGGAGTACTCTGTGAAAACAATGCAAAAATGGCAAAATGCCCCATTGCTGTACAATAAGTTCATCACATGCTCTGTACCCTAAGATAACCACCATTCCATCAATTTATGTGTATTTTTCCAAACCATTTTTTGGAAGATCTTATTTTAGGGGAGGAAAAAAAGTGATATAATTCTCTCAATGTTTCTAAGAAACCTTGTCATGTTTGTATGGACTGATCTCATTTTCTTTAAACCACAGACCCAAGAGTTTAACTGTACTATATTTATACTCAGTATGCTACTACCTGAATTTTCAAACTTCTCAATATTGCAAACAGTACTATATAAAGAACCTGAGCAATGACTCTGAACACATTTGGGGTATTTATTCAAGTTAAAAATGTGAACATATAATTTGTACATGTTATTTGTTTCTTTATTGTTTTGCAGTGTTGCTTCAGATCCTCCTGCCTCTACCTCCAGAGTCCGAGGACTTCAGGGATGCCACTATACATCTGTCAACCCTTTATACATACACATTTTTGCCTTTGGATTTTTGTGTCTTAGTTAAGAGTTCTTTGTATTATACCAAAAAAATCCATAGGTTTTCCTAGGTTGTGTGTGTGTGTGTGTATTAGTATGTGTTCATGTGTATACACAGATGTGTATGCACAAGCATGTGGAGAGGTCAAAGGTTGACACTAGGTGTCTTCCTCAGTTTCTCTCTACCTCATTTTTGAGATAGGATCTCTCAGTGAACCTGGAGCTCACCAATGTGGCTGGGCTGGCTGGCCTATCTTTCTCTCTGCCCTCCTCATCCCTAATGTCGGAGCTATATAGACACATGCAAGGCTTTTACATGGGTGCTAAGGATCTGAATTAGGTTCATATGCCTACATGGCAAGCACTCTACCCATGGAGTCATCTCCTCAGCCCCCTGAAATTGACTTTTATGTGTTGATTTTGTGTCCTGCAGCTCTATTAGCTTTAGCAGTGTGTGTGTGTGTGTGTGTGTGTGTGTGTGTGTATCTTTAGTTTTCCCACAAATAAGATCTTGCCACCTGTGAATGGAGATAATTACATTTCTTCCTTTTTAAAGTAGATGCTTTTTAAAACATCTTTTTTCTTGTCTAATTGTTCTGACTAGAATTTCTAGAACCACTATGAAGAACAGATGTGGTGAAAAGGGGCATCTTTCATCTAATTTGCTTTGCTCTGCTCCAGATCTTGGTTTATAATTTTTAATGAATTTAGCTAACTTTTAGCAAAACCAGGTTTGGGGAGATTTGGAGTGAAGAAGTGAGTATATTTTGTACAAGAGGGCTATGAACAACTATGAGCTAAAGGTAGATTGCATTTTCAAAACATAGCTGCTATAGAAGTTCCCATTCTCCATGTTTTTGTGGAACTTTACTATTTTTCCACTATAACGTAGAGTCTTGTCTGGTCTCCTGAAACAGATTTCACCTTTGTGATCACTTTAATTAATTAATAAAATATGATGAAAATATCACCATGATATTTTTTAGGTGATATTAAAAGGATAATACAGTTCGTATGTGTCTTATTTGGGGGATGCATACTTGTGGGGCCCTGTGCTATCTGTAAGAAGTACAGCCAACCTGAAGCTTCCATGTTGAAGAGACTATGTGGAAAGACCATAGAGAAAGCACAGAGAGGGCACAAGAAGCCCCAGCATGCCCTGATTCTCACCTGCTCAAATATTCCCAACCTAAGCACCACCTATTTCAGTGGAGAGTCATGGGAGATGCCACCAGTACTGGCCACCATCTGGTTATAACCATGTTGCGAGACCCCAAGCCTAGTCTACCAGTCAACCCCAAGAATAGTGGGAGACAATAAGAAAAACTACTTTTTTTTTTTTTGTCTTTTTGAGACAGGGTCTCCCTGTAGCCCCAGCTGTCCTGGAACTCGCTATATAGACCAGGCTGGCCTTGAACTCACAAAGATCCACCTGCCTCTGCCTCCCAAGTGCTGGGATTAAAGATGTGTGCCACAATGCCTGGTTAAAAAACTACTCTTATTAAGTTAAGATGTTCTGTAATACAGCATCGAACAAGATGAACATGAGATTTGAGATCTCTGTGAGAGAGTGAAATAAGGTGTCAAAGCCCAGTGTTGGAAATATTAATTTTTTTGTTGTTGGTAAGTGAAACCATGGAACTGATTTAGGCTGCCCATAGTAAGGAATAAGGAATAAAAAAGGAAACATAATCCTAAAAGTCTACTTTAACCCAACATGTGCATTTTTCTTTTTCTTTTTTTGGCTTTTTCAGACAGGGTCTCCCTATGCAGCTCTGGTTGTCCTGGAGCTTTCTATATAAGCCAAGCTGCCTCTAACTCACATAGCTCTATCTGCCTCTGCCTCCTGAGTGCTGGGATTAAAGGCATGCACTACCATATCCAGCCTACATGCATGTTTCTTAAAAGACTATACTACAATACCTTTCTTAGACAATTCTATGGCAAACAGATAAATTGATGTATTGCTGCCAAAGGGCTTATGAATTTTCAAGACAGTTAAGAGCATAATGCTGATTGCTGAGAAGTACAGGAAAAACACATACATGGTATTTTTCACATTAATAACATTCAATTCCCTAGATCTTCCTGACATCTGACCTAAGTTGCATGTAGCCAGGGCTCTCCACAACACTTACCCGTTGCTGATGAACAATGTTTTTGTGCTCACGGGCCACACGTGTGGCCCACTTCCGAGCCTCTTTATTTAGACTATGTTCCTCTGTGGTCCCAGTTTCGGATTCTAACTGTCGACTCTACAACAGAGAGAACAGAAAGAAAAGTTGTGTTATCCTCATTGCAACTACCACCACTCTGTAGTTGGACCAGAGGGCCTTTCCTTAGTTAGCACTGAAAATGTGAGGCATGCCTTACTTCTGCGGAAAACAAGGCTTACGTCACGAAAAGTCGATGTTAGGTAGTTACACAGGGATTAGTAGCCTTGGAGGCCACTGAGGATGAACCCCTCCCTCCTGGTCAGCTTTGGGCCTCACCTCCTGCTTCCTGGTAACACTAGAAAGGTAAGCATCAGCTTTGGCACTCCTTAAGCCTCTTGGTCAAAATAATGGAATACTTCTGGCCCTGGGTGAAGACTCGACCTTCTGATCTGCTCCAAGGATTGGAACATTATGTACTATTGTCTTCTCCCTTGAGAGTTAATCCAGCTGGGCCTGTCAATCACCTGGCCAGGAATCTACCCCACCTGGAAAGCTGATTAATTTGAGGGGAGGAATAATTATACCCTTAATGAGATAATGTCATTATTCGCCCTAGAAACCCTGCCCCCGTATAGCTGCTTGCAGAGCTTCCATCACACAGCACTGAGGACCTGCTTCCTTTTTTTCCTTTTCCTTCTTTTCTATCTCTTTTCTTTCAGATACTGGCCCAAACGTGGACATGCTTTCCTGGACACTCTGGGCTTTTATTTAGTTTTACATTTATTTTTTGCATACTCATACACACACACACCCATGGCAAAGAACTTGTAAGAGTTGGCTCTCTCCTTCCACCATGTGGTGCCAGGGATTGAAATCAGGTGGTCTGGGTTGGTGGCAAGTGCCTTTATCTACTGCGCCATTTCACCAGCCCCACTCAGCTTTCTCACCTGTTCTCAGGGGCTTCCCTCCCTCTTCTACCATGCAGCTGCTTGCCAACCTCCATTGCTGAACCCACCTTCTTTCCTGGACCCTAACTCTAAAAGAATGGCTTGCATTCTTCCTCTTCCCCACCTCTCTCCCTTGGGCAACTGCTGAGACTTATATCCTGCCTACCGTGGTGTTTTCCTCTCAAGGGCAAATAACAGTGTCCTTGCGCTTCCTTGTGTGTCTGTTTCTAAATTCTTTTATTAAGACTAAGAACTCAAAAGTGGGAACCCCAAATGATAAAATGTGTGAATTACAGAAGAGTCACAAGCTTCATTAGGGAAAAGTCATGATCCCTTAAAGTGGCCAGCTGGCCCTAAATTGACAGCCTGACCTTGCTCAAGCCTCATCAACTGGTTGCTCCCTGGAATGAGGAAGACTGTTTATGGAGTCAACCTGTCTCCTTTAGTGCCCGAAGATAGCTCGCCTGGCTGAGAAAATAATCTTGGGGGAGAGAGCCTCAAGGACACCAGACCCTGGCCTTCTTTTTTTCATGCAACTAAAAATCATATAATACAACCTTCCTCTCTATGCTTAAATTTTTACCAGAGGCTGGGGTGTAGCTCAATAATAGGGCACTTGTTTAGCATGTGTGAGGCCCCTGGACTCAATGATACCCACCACTGGGGGAAAAAATCCACTGTTAAGTCATGTGTGGTGGCTTGTATTTGTAATTCCTACATTTAGGAGGCTGAGGCAGGAGGAGGGTCATGAATCTGAGGACAACTAGGGCTATACACTAAGTTCTAAGCTAGCCTGGTCTACAGAGAAACCTTGTCAAAAAAAATAGACTAAACAAAAACAAAACTATAAAATCCATTCAAAATGAATGACTGAAGAAGGAAAATCTTTAGCACATTTGCTTCCTACAGATACTTAGCTATATCATCCCCATAACTTATCCTTGAGTACCACCCTAGGCTGGATGAGAAAAGTTGATTTCACATAAGAAACACAGTCATTACTTTTTGAGACTGTAGCCAAAGTATAACCATTTGAAAAAGTAACAGTCATCTACAGTGAGTGAAAATTACTAATACTATGAGACACCACCATTTCAGGTCAGCTTCAGAAAAAGATAATGCTAAGGCTGTTGTGCCAATGTCACATGCCATGATAAATCTCACTAACCCTCATTCAAGGAACTTGCTCTACATGTGTATTTTTAGTTTATTTGTACTTTACTGGGTAAAACATTTGGCTCATCTTGTTCTTTGTAAAGTTTACTGGCATAAATTATTTTAAGAAGGTCAATTCATTCTCAAAAGGACCTCCTGAAAGAACCACTTGCCATGCATGGTGGCATGCACTTACAATCCTAGCTCTCAAGAGGCAGAAGATGTGCTAGAGCCAAAAAGTTCAAGGCCAGCCTGGGCAACACAGCAAAGACACAGACTCCAAAAACAAACAAAATGAAAAAACAAATACAACCCAGGATCTTTTTAAAGTAAAAATATCTGGGGTTTTTTGGTAGGTTATTTTATCTAAGCACTTGTATAGATTCACAATTTCATAATTCTGAAATTCAACATGCTTTTGCAAAGTATTGTGAAATATATGCTATGTGTATTACTTTCCTCAAATTTGACAAATTCTAATAAAATAAAATTTTAAACTAAATAAAATCTGACAAATTCTGCATTTTGAAATATAATTTTGGCCCAGAGGTTTTTGCTAAAACACCATAGACCCTCAGGTAACCTATTTTAAGCAAATCATACTCCTTGTGGAGAAGAGTGGAACAGTACCCCTATAAAACATGACTTATTCCAACTATGCCTGGACAGCAGCCCTTTCGTTTGGGAGAGAAGCAGGCACTCACGTGGGTGATTGGGTTGAGTGTGCCTCCTCTCAAGCATATGGGTGTGGTCTGAGCCCTGCAATAATTCTGAAAGACTGGACAACTGGGAGGAAAGGATGTCCAATTTCATTAAACTGATGAGAGCTCTGATGGTACTCCATTGTCCTGTTTTGTTAAAACCAAAGGCAAATCTAAGCAAAAATGTCTTTTGAATAATGATATGAAAACAACCCAGAAGGTGGGCATGGTTTCAGAAGCCTCTAATACTAACATGAGAAAAAAGGCAGGATCATAGGTTTTAAGTTCAAGGCTGGTTTGGGCTACATAGTGAAAAACCACCAGCACTACCAACAAAACAAAAAAAGAGCATAAAAAGAAAAGATACACCCCCAAAATGACAAAACCATCTCATGTCCCTAGAACACAAAGAGGCCTGGCTATGGAGCAGTCTCAGAAGGATGCTCTGCTTTAAGGGCTAGATAAGAGTGAACTTCAGGATTCTTGGGTGTTGTCAACGTGTTACTAAGCCATCAACACAAAGTTTTGGATACCCCTGGATGCTTAGAGAAGGAATCAGACCAGGAAGAGGATAACTAAAGCAGGAATGAGTCTGTCAGATATAGATGGAAGGCTTTCTATGAGGGACAAATAAGCCCCTTTGAAAGACTGAAGGATGAGAACAATCCCTTTGAGCACCTGATTATCAAAACTGCAGATTCTAGAAAATGACACTTGTCCTCTGAGAGTCACAACATTTCACTTTTGGATACTGTGCCCAGCATGTACATAGGATGGTCTCTATTTATTCAACAGGAGGATTTCCCACATATTCTCTACCCCATCATTCACATTTATGAGAAACTGCTAAATGCAATATAAAATTTCCACCAGAAAAGAGCCATCCATTACATCAAGAATTTTTAGGTAAATTTCTCACATGCTATATTTGCCCTATACCATCTTTTTTTTTTTTTAAAAAAAAAACAAAACTAACTTTTAAATAGATGTATAAAACGTTCCACCTAAATAAAACTTAACATGCAAAAAAATCCTAAAGCAAGTAGGAATTTAACTTAATTTACCTGTTAATCTGTGGAAAGCAAAAATAAGTAACAGAAATAGCTGGAATAATGGTAAAATAAGATACATTAGAAATTCATGCCAGTCTTTTGCTACCATTATGCTTGAAGATCTTTTTATTCTTCATTCAAGGAAAGAGGAAAGAGTTTTCTCATTCCTATCAGGGAGCTTGCAGAGAAAGATTCCTCACTGTTTTTGCCTGTATAAAGCATACTTATCCATGTATTATGGATATTGACCTGTGCTTTATCAAGGATGTGCAGCAACATCCCAAAGGATATCCATTGCAAGTTCTCCTAATGGAAGGAAGACACACTGAGATATACATAGGGCAGAGGTGCTGAAACGTGCACATCTTACATGTGGTTAAGAACAGACACATACTGTTACCTGTCAGAGACGAGTCTCCTGTGTTGCCCAGGCTGTTCTTGGACTCGTAAGCCTCCTCAGAGGTAGGACTATAGGCAGGTGCTATCATGCTTGACTGAGTACTACTTATCCCACCCACCTTTTAGGAGTATAAAATGCTAAACAAGAGGGTGATGGGATCTACTTTTTGGAATAAACTAAGAGCACAGAAATTTAAAGAGACTGATAGTTATAAGTCCAAAAAGGAAGCTGAATATTGTAGGATTTCATAATCTTTGTGATCTCGTCTATATTTGATATTTTGGTATTTCCTGTAGCAACTAGGGGCAAAATTTAAAACAAAAAGGAAAAATATGCTTGCTTTATATGAAGATAAGAACAAAAAAAGGGAAGCCAACATTATTCTGCATCTATCAATATGTGTCAGGCACTGAGCCACATGCCTAATTTTCAGACCTAAAAAGGTAGTCCTTTCAGAATGAGGAAGCTGAAATCTGGAAATCGAATCAAAGACTTCTCCGTTTACAATACCTATATGAATACCTAACACCAGGATGGTTCTCTGACACTGTGATCCTACTAAATGTACCTGTCATTTCTCCACAGAATGTGCTATATTGGTGTGTGTGTGTGTGTGTATTCCATATCCTACTCAAAGTAATTCTGAATTAAAAACTAATTTCAGCAAACAGAGGTGTATTTTACTAATTTTAGGATTTATTTGAGACAAGCTCTTACTATATAGACATGGCTGATCTTTAATTTGTGGTGGTCCTCCTGCCTCTGTCTCCTAAAGGATGGGACTATAGGTATGTGTCACCACATATGGCTTTAGAAGGATATTTTGCTGTTGTTTTTTGGTTCT